CCACGGGTTCCTGAGAAAAAGGGTCCCTTTTTTTCTTTCGAGTGATTAATTATCGAGTGATATTCGCGCAGTGCAATACCTATTCACGAATCGTTATGTATGAATTATAAAAGTGCCGGATGAGTTTTATAATACAGACCATATCAGGGGGCCTAGCCATACTAGCCATACTCGATGAAAGATGCATTACTTATTCCTAAAGACTTCTAATACGTAGAAGTCGTATTCTCCTTTAATAAAATAAAAACTGGTTTCAGTTAGTAACACTCCTTTTTTAACCGATTCAAAAAGGAGGAGGTTCTCAATTCGACTGTATTTTTTTTCTGTTTGTTTCCTCATAAGTTTTTACTGGGAGTCCACCCATTTATGACGATTCTTTCTTTATTTGAAAGCTAGTGGTCCCAGTAATTAAGTCTAATGAGAAAACCATATAAGTCTAATTTTGAATTAAATATGCGTGATGTTTGTTTCCCCAAAAGTCAAAATATCAGTAAAATGCATTAAATGAAAACTTAAAAAAATGGAATCGACTTCAAATTTTAAAAAGTGAAAAATAATACTTATCTTAAAATTGGTTAAATTTTTAAAGAACCATTGAATTCTATAGTTAATTAAATATTAACCGCCCGATATTATTTTTCCCTTTTTTTAATATGTAGTCGGTTCCATTTTTTTTTTAAGTTTTTAATAACGTCTTATCTTAAGAACCGCCTGAGTGTATTTGTTTAATCACAAATAAAGAAATTGTTTTTATTCTTTATCATATATGTGACTTGTTATATTACACAAATGCAGCACTTAGTAAAAAACGTCGGAAGTACTGACCCAATCATGAAAATTCTTTCATCTACAAGAAACTACCTTTAACTCAGGTTAGATCAGCTTTAATCGCGGGGAAACAAATAATCTATACTAATATTATAAAGCAGAGAAGTTTGTTTGTTTTGAACGCGCTAATCTCAGGAACTACTGGTTCGAATTGAAAAATTCTTTTTGTGTTGAATAGATCATTTATCGAGGAAGGCTTTAGGCTATATAACATCACGCTGCAACTATTAGGATTGAAGAAATAATGGAAAATGTGGATAAAAAACAGGCTTGAAGGTTTCCGTTGCGTGCGCTACGAAAACGGTTCAAGATACCAAAAATATGTATCGTATATGTATGAAAAACTATGCTATGATAACTGCAATCATTACTTCTATTCAATTTGTAATTATATCTGTGTCATGCTATAAATCGATACCCAAATAAACGGTTCCCTAGGGATCACGCAGGCGAACCCGCTGGCGGAAAGCTAGTCTGTTAAAAATATATAATAATATAAATTAGCCGACTTGACAACAATCAACAAATTACATGTAACTATGATTACGATAGCAATGACTTATATCTGACCCAGTATAAATATAAACAAAATTAATTTCGCTCCGATCTAGAAACTTTAAAGCTCGCAAATAGTTGCAGAGATATTTTCTCAACACTTGTAACAAATATTAATTTTACGATACAAAGCCAGAGTCGGACTGAGAGTAAACATTAACTAACTTTTATAACTAAAAAGTACTTATTAAAATGTTATGACAAATAAATCTTTAAAATGAGTTCACAACCTGCTCCACCCAAATAAAACGGTAATTTTGTTATACAAATTAGTAGATAGTGCTGTAAAATTTTAATATTTTGTCTAAAATAATACTTGTGAGACACCAGGGCCGATTTAAGCAAATTAGGCGACTGCCTAGGGCCTCGTATTTTGGTAGGCGCAACAGGGCATAATATGTATGTTTTTCTCTACTTTTTTGACCTATGTAAATTAATTCATGCACTCTCTATTCAAAAATACAAAATTCTCTGATAGTATCTAAGGAGTTTCTTATGACATTATAAAATTATAGGTATACACACTAATCGATGCACATACTTACTATTATTTTACTTATTAGTATATTATTTTGTGTAGGTATGCTAGCCTATTACTTATTAGTCTTTTATTTTATGCACGTCGTTCCAGTGTTTTACCTAGGGCACTAAATTTAATTAAGCCGGTGCTGTAGGCACCTCTATACATAAATTTTGTTAAAAATCTTCATTCTATATGTGTCTAGAGTTTTACGAATATAGACCACTGTAGCAGTCTATTTTTGCAAATAAATTATGAAAATCATATTAATTCCACTGGATGGATTATATCTGCACTAGATCCGCGTCTGTTAACACACGGCTGGCATAATGCCAATGATATTACGTCGATAATCTGCCGTCGAGCTTACTGGACAGGCTGCTTATGTCTAAATCTTGTTACCGTCTGAACTCCGAGTTTATCACAAAGTTGAAAGCCAATGGCGAGATCATAACCATAATTTCAATGACAGTGATTGGCAGTATTTAAATTTGTTTTGTAAAACTCAGGTACCACTTTAAAAAAATATGTATCCCACATGACGATACAATATTTTATAAAAAATATACCATTACAAAGAACTCAATTATTTAAATTCTGAAACGCAGCTTTTAAAGGAACAAATTTCAAAACCAAATTATGAGCCCAACGTGGTTGGCGTACATACTTTGACATGCTCTGCCCGTTAAAGCTTCGTTATGTAAAGATAAAGGGATATTATTGTTTTGTTTTCACAAAAATGTGCAAAGTTTAGATGCTTTATTATAGCTTTGGAGTCAATCGAATGAAGGGAGATTCGTTAATCTTAACCAGCTAAGATAAAAATGCACATTTCTGTTTTCTACCTGAAAACATTTATGCTATTTCTATTAATCATACATATATTGTTCACTTGCATGACACAGTCTCGCAAAATTACTTAACAAACCAAACTCATTAAAAAAAAAACGATTTCTAATAGTGGTTAATAGTGGTAATATTGTACAGTGCCACAAAATTATTTGACCCAGTGGCCAAAATTGGAACTAAGACGCCATCGTTTTGAATTGTCATCATACTTTACTCTTTGTGTAATTTGTCAATTTTTTTCAACCCTTTCTTTTATTAAGCTTAACGCATTCTAAGTATCTGTCATAACATTCTTAGTTCGTCCATGGGCAAGAAGAATACAAATATAGGTCAAATATATTAAGCAGGTGCTGTAGGCACCTCCACTATTTACCTATACCTATTGTATTTACTTTGTTAACAAACATATACAAAAATTTTGTTAAAAATCTACATTCTATATGTATCTATAGTTTTTCGAATACAGACCAAAATATATGTAAATAATCAGAAACAGTACAAAAAAAAAGATACTGCAAAATTTCTCCAATCTATTTGAACCCTTATTACATTGTGGATAGAATACAAACTAATTTACGGAAAGTTTACATAAATATTATGGTAGTTTTACATGCAGCCGTAATACCGTGTACAAGGAAAATATATGTAAATAGTAATCAGTAAAACTGAGTTCGTTAGCCGCCAACATCCTCAACCTTAATGCGTCCAAGAACAAATTATTGTCATTAGCACTGGCACACAAAATAGAAAGACAGTGGGTGAGACTCATAATGAACAGTTTATTTGTTTATTTTGCGTTTACTTGTATTTGTATTCGCAAAATCACTGGACTGACTGTCGGTGGGAGTTTTGCGTGCATTGTAGCTAAAATTATAACACGGCGCACTTTCTTTCCATTATCTTATTGATGGCTTAGACGGCTTGTTTGTAGAAACACACATGCATCGATTATTTATAATGCATTGATTTATGTAATCGGCACGAATGCCAAGATATATTTTAAACAATATTCTGTTTATTACACCATGGATATGAATATAAATGTGATACCACGATATCATGAATCTCATTAATTACGATAAAGAGCAGGTTTCTTTCGCTTGTTCTTCTTGTCAGCTAAAAGACGTCCTGAACGAGTGGTAGGGGAAAAACATTGGACGATTCAAAAGTGCTTGTAACAAGATTCCTTGAATGAAGACATTTTCATTTCATTTCATTTCGATATCTAGCAACTTTGGCACTCACTTAGCATGTGGTATCCGCAAGATCTGAGACTCGATCGCCTGACTTTCTAGCATTGATTCTAGCTATAGGATAAGACATCTTAAAGATTGTATGACGATATTTCGTCTCATGTCTTTTGGTGGATTAATTTGTGATAAATTACTTAAAGTTGGTAAAACGGCTATCAAATCCACAAGCAAGCATCAATTCTTTTTGTTCGTTCGTCGTTATTAAAGTACATGTCAAAGTAGTAATATCGCCATAGCATCGATAAGATGTTGTATCCTATGGCTAGAGAGTTAGGTGTAAACAAATGCACATCCATCTCAGATGCGAAACACATATAGGAATTTTGGATGCGAGATTTGTTGCCATTTGTGTCAGAACATTTATTTACGGGTGGGCAGGTGGTGTACGCTAGATCTTGTAGTGTGCAAGTTGCTGCGCAAACACTCTGTTAGTGAGCAAATGCAAGGATGTCGTAATTACTACCGTAACGCCTCATGAAACAAACTAGATGATCCTGAGCACTTGGTAAACTACCTTATAAAATTGTGCTGTTAAGGCTGGGAGCAAATTCAAGAGAAAACGAGATGAAATCAAGTCGCCCGTCATTGACACAGATAGAGATAGCACGCGTATTGCATGCACCCAAATGTAGAATATTTTGGAGCACATTTCTCGCGTACGCCCCATACGATATCCCACTTTCAGGAAAAAAGTGACGTTTGGTGTAGACAAAGCTTTTCTCGAATTCTTCGTGCTACGCGTACTGAAGAGAGGATGGCGCAATGTGCCTCACAAACGATTTTTTATTAAAAAGCCGAAAGACAAGTGTTGTGTGCTAGCTTAACGGAAATGGAGAGGATAATGAGTTTTCAGAGACATCGTGTCGTGTATATTCAATCACCAATCAATAGCCAATGAAAGCATTCGTACAGCTGTCCACGCATATATAATAATAAAACCCACGCGAAAATTTGTTTATAAATGTGTTTTGATTTTTTAATGTTTTTTATTTCAGATTAACGATGTCGCAGCTTTAATGTTTGCCGATGAGCTCAAGCAAACCCTGGAGAGATACTTGTTCGGGATATGCCCACATACTTTCAGGGTAACTACATAAATAATAAGTACACACGGCTGCACGTCAGGTTATAACAAAATGTCAATATTCTGCACTGGATTTGGACCTCTACCGTCAATATGTTAAGGTTTAAATAGAGTGGGTAAGCTTGACAGTTTTGTATAGTCTGACGTGCAGTTGACTGTACCTGCATATAATGTTTAGTCGTTAGTTTTTACTTTATCTCGTTAGATTATAAACCATACTTACTTTGAGTTAGGTTTAATTGTAAAAATAAAAATTTAAGTAAGATAACAGACTGACGATTTTCACAATTTCATGGTGACACATACTGCACATACCTTTATGTGCATATTGTGAAGGAAGAGAAAGCGAAAGAAAATCTACATGTCGCAAGCACTAGGCACCTATAGTTGAGCAGTCGCTCTGCTGGAGGTTATCCGTTGAGCCGAGGTATTTTGCCCGGTAGTTGACCAGTCCGTTGCATTTCACGAAAATACAATAAAAACTGGAGAAAACTATTTAGTTCAAAGTATTAAATATTCTTGTTTGACTCGTAGATCATACGTTTTATTTAGTGTATGACGTTGGCGCGAGGTTTCTGATGTTTTAAAAATATCCCTGCAGAAGTTTACTCACTGAATTTTAATGCATAAAGTAAATAAGTCACAACATTACAATTATGTAACAGTCTCGTTGGACGCAGATGCAGTTAAATCTGAAAGGGAAGAACAACGGAACTGAACCAGCTTGTGACTTGGACACTGACCAACAGGACTTGGCTGGAAGGTGAGAGAAACTGTTCCTATATTATTTTATATTAGACTTGGCCACACCAGTGATTGTAGGTAGTTGCGATTTAAATATCAGCAGCGCCTTAATAAAAAAAATATAATTATTTTTAAACAAAAGACTTACCTCCATTTTCACTAACCTAGAACAAGGCATAGCTTAACAAGGAAACGCCTAATCTTACGAATCGCCAAAGTAGTTTAGTTAAATCCCAAATAAACATTTTTTCCTTTATCCCTTGACATATTTGTGATCTGTCATATTCCGCAAATGTCTAGCGCAAGGAACCGCATAACATATATCATAATTTTAGACATTACTTAATGTCTTTAGGAGGTTCTTAGTCATTGGTGATATGCATTTTCATCTTAGGTGATTTCTAAATACATATTTTCAGGCTAGCAACACTGTCGTTGCGAGCGCACTCAGCTTCCCGCACTGATTGCGCCCGGTTCGGTGCTGCGCTCGCGAACACGCTCGGCGAGCTCGCACGAACTGCAGCGAACCGCGCAGCAATCACATCTGGTAATTTTGATTTTTGATAAAAATAAATGTACAGCATATATTTTCATAATATCCATTATTCGCTTGTTGGATTTGGAGTCGCGACGCTAATCTTCTTGTTAAGTGGTGCTTATGTAATGACTGAAAGTAATGACGTATTTCTAAAATACGTCAAAAATGCTTTTGAAATAAAAATCAACTGAGCAGATGTGCCCTCCTAACTTTCCGTTTAGAACTCGTAGACCACTTTCCAAATTAAATCGAGAATTGAAGAGTCTAATGTCGATCTAAACTTCACATTCCAGTGCTAGTCCATAAAAAATATGTGTCGAACTTAACGAGCGCAACGATGTCACAGCATAGAGGTTGAATCAAATAAAATTAACTTAATCGGTTGTCATGTATCATTTTGGGAATCACAGTTTTCCTTTCGAATTACGGGATCCTTAAAAAATAAAAACTCCTACGTTTGTTTTGCAACTGAGATAAAAAAAAACTCATTTCCTACAAGTTTTAAACACAGTGAGACTCTTCAAAAGCAAACTAGTAAACGGTAAATGAATTTGTGTATTTGTTCTCATAAACAATTCTGGCCTGATGGCAAATGCGTCATATGCTTACCATCTCTCGTAAGCAAGTCGTAAAAATCGAGTGGAGGATTTTTTGATATCAGTACGCTATCAAAGGGTTCTAGTATCGCTGCGGCTGCACATCGGCGCCGCACACAATCAGCTACCATCCCCTAGACCGATTAAAAAATAGTCGCGGGAAAACAGCTAGTTCATTTTAAAGAACCAAATTCTATTTTATATATTGTACACACGGCTGTACGTCAGGTTACTATAATATGTCAATTTTCTCCATTTGATTTAAATTCTACAAAGTATTAAATGATCGAGCATGAACTTCTAATTATTTGAGAACTACAACCGACTTCTGACACGAAGTCTGACGAGACACATTGGCGCCCAACATAGGGTCACCAACTAAGCAATGTAACTGTTTCTAACTTTGCTGATGCGTTAATATTTAATTGTAATAATTGCATTAGTTGTCTAAAAATAATGAAAACAAGACTAAAATGATAATTATCATTGATAATCGCGCATAGCTATTTTTTTTATTATTGCAATCGAAATTCATATGAATATTTGCACCGCATATAAGAGATAAGTAGTAACGCCTCTGGTGTTTTGCCAGAAACCACGACACGGATAATGTCTAAATAATTATAACAAGAGAATAACTATTTCTGACTTAAAAAATATACGAGCGATGATGATGAGTGTTTAAATATTATCTTTGAGAAAAATTACGTTTGCAAAATAGAATATTCATCATCGCTTAATAGATAGGCTAAAATGTCGTTTTATGAGATATTCTCGCTACAAAGTGGAAAGTCTCCGTTAACACTACAACATTTTTGTTGGAATAATATTATTTCATCACAGTGAAAATTTTTAAGACTTTGTAGCCAAGAACTTACGAGTGAATTTATGATAATCGTAATGGCTTACGCGTAATCAATGCAAGGCCGGCTCCAGGGGTCGCCCCGGTTAAGTAAAATCGGTCTTGGGTTATGTAATGGGTGGCCAAAATTTATTATTTCGAGCACTTGAGAGTTACGAAAGGCATGTTAAGCAGCGTGGTGGGTTATATTTGGGTTGTATTACGTGGGTTATATTACGGCCCATTCTCCTTATATTAAAATATATCTGATATATGTGATAATATAGATCTATGTCTCAGCAGTCATTATTGTAATGAGAGTAATGAAATGTTATTTTTTTATTATATATATGGCTCGTTCCCGTTATGTTCTTGTCCCAGCAGTGGTTATCAAATAAAGAAATACAGTACACTTCAAAACTACTTATGAACCTATCAAATTCCATAAGCACCGAACATAAATAAATTCGTTACAATATACGCGCTATGATATATAATGGAATCTTTTATTCAAATAAGCTTATTGAAAGCACTTTGAATCATTCATTTCTTTTCTACCAACTGTTCAGAAGGTCTTTTAGCTGACAAGAACATCATATGATAAAAAATCTAAAATCTTTTGGCAGAAGTAATGACATTTACATAAGCTTATCTATCTAGCGTGAAAAATGTATCAGGCGCCTTCACAAACGAAGAATTTATTTGATAGATTTCGATTTTGTAAATATAGTATCTTTGCATACTATATGTTTTCAAAGGCCCGAACTATAGCACAATACTATGTATTACAGTACGGTTGGCAATCCTAGGATATTATAATGTGAGTAATGAAATTTTATATTTCATGCTTTGATATATCTAAGGCGATAATAAAAGCAAATTTTAATAATTAATAAAAAAACAGCTTTTCCTTTTGAATGGTGTGGTGAGTTGGTGACACTATCTGCCTTTTATTTTATATTTGATTATTATTTATTTGATTATATACGATGCTTCTGATTTACATGTCGTTTTAATTGTTATTTTTTATTATTTCCAAGACTGTCATAGTTATGTCAGTCATTAATTTAATTAATTGAGTATTTAATTATTATTGCTGTTTATTTTAATTTGAGAATGTATATCGAAACTATAAAACATTTTTTATGATTTAATCAAACCACGAAATATAAAATTTCATTTGTGTAATATAATAATAAATGAATATATCTATATTGATAGAACTATTTCTTTACAGCGAACAACGAAGCGATAAAAAAGCGAAAGCTATCGAAAAGTCAAAAGGCGAAAATACAAGCGAAACAACGAACAGCGCTCGCAGTCAAAAAGAAGGCTGCTGCCGCGGCCGCCGCTGCTGCTGCCAAGATGGCGTCTGCTTAGATAATATACTCCTTGGTCTTATATAGGTTATAGTTGATAGTTTTGTACTTCTAAAACTACTATTAATTGCATGCAACAAATGCAAGTTTGTTGCTATTTGGCAAAATATAAAATTTTATAGTGTTGCCAACATAAAATAGTATTTAGATAATGTAGAATCAAAACCACAATAAATGTTTGTACACTCGGCTGTACGTTATGTTACTACTATGTTTATGTCAAATTTCTGTAGGTGATTTTAAACTCTATCTTCAAAACATATAGATTTAAAATTAATTGGAAAAATTTAACAGATTTATAACCTGACGTAATATTAACTTATACTTACTTGATACGATTCAGAGTTTTTTCATATCTAAATTGTATTATAACATATCACAATATAAAAGATTTACCTATAGAGTAACATAATCATTTTTTTAAAATGGAACTCGCCAGCTGCAGTTTGCCCACCTCTGCTCTAGGTCAGTGTTTTACAACCTGTGATCCGGTGACCCCATTGGCCCGCAGCAAAATAACAAATCAATCGTAGCATCAATTCAAATACTATTGATTTACAAATATAAAAAAGCGTATCAAACTTGGTAACATGAAGGACAATTTATTAATACAAATTGATAATCCTACAATTCATTTTTATTGGAGTGGGCGCAGTGGCGTAGCTAGGTAATCTAGGGCTCTGGGGCAAATAAAAAAATTGGGGCCCACTTCTATCAAAACTGGTAAGGTTTTTTGAAGTAAAATCATTGAATATACAAATACTTTAAAAATGCTAAACAACTTTATCATCAGCTCTTTTTCGTGCAAGGCAGGTAATAAAACTATTAAACACTAACAACATAAATTACAATTATTATAAAACGAAATAGAAAAGATTCAAGGGTTTATTAGATATTTATTTAATCATAGATACGTTGCACCAGCTTTTTACAAAAATTATCAATAGAAATATTTGATACAGAAGTATTTGCAGAAAGCTGACTAAAAAACTTGTCAATTTTGGGCAATTTTCGTTTACTTTCTCCTCTTTTTTGGCGTTGTTTGCGTTTAAATGCACCACCGGGTTTCTGTTTTTTTTTTGTCCATAATATTAGTTTTCTAATTTATTTATGCAATATTTATATAAGATTGTACTCAAGTAGGTACTCACTGTTCACTGACAACGTTACAAGTAAAAGGAAAGCGAAACTTGAATGAATGAAAATGATACGATACAAGGCGTCGTTGGGGAATCCCCGGCAAACACTTTATCACCGCCAGTGTTACCACTTATGACGGTTTGACGGACTACAATCAAATAAAATTGAACTTTTGTATGGACCAGTACATAAAATTGATTGACATACGCTTACTAACTCCTGATACAATAACTTTTTAACCATTCTCGAAAAAAAATCTTGACTCGAAGTTCACAATCGCGAATCACAAAAACGCATATCGATAAATAATAATATGCAGATATTGATATCCAACAAATTGATGAAAACATTAATAACACTGTCAACCCACACAAATAATTTACGGGAATTCCCTTTTTACCCGACTGCGCGACGCAAAGGAGGGTACCTAATTATAACTTTGGAATTACTCACAACTGAGTTTCCATGATTAAACTCGAGTTGTCACCTGTCATTTTTATTTTGAAGATGGGAGAAATTTTCAAAAGTTGAGTTCGATTGAGATTTTCTGGTAAAGATTCGAGGGCCCCCTGAGCTTGAGGGCCCCGGGGCACTGCCCCACCTAGCCCCTTAGTAGCTACGCCACTGAGTGGGCGGAAATTAGTGCTTTGATTTCCATTTAATAGAGATGCAACAGAAACTACTTAACTGAAGCAGAAACAGAACCAGAAGTCGAAATAAAATTTAAGCAGAAACGGATGCGGATACGGAAGTTTAAATACTATGAAAATAATGTTTGAATTATAAATATAATTCTTTATGAAATCATAATCATCACAATATTATATTTAGTATCATTATAATATTATAATTAACAGAAGTCTGTTATGTCACTAATGATAATAATAATAAAAACATGTATTTTTTGAATTTATCAAAAAATTAAACGCTCTGTAGTAGCGAAAAAATAACAAGTGCTTGAAAGATTCGTCCTATTGGGTCCTGGGTAGCTCAGTGCCAGAGCAGGCGATTGCGATAGGTCATGGGTTCGAATTTTATCACAGGGTGCCAAAGATCAAGTGGATTTTTTAAGCATTTTTCATTAAGAATATTTTTCAGAATATCATTGTGAATTCGAAATTGATCAAATATAATAATACATTTTATTTTCAAAATTTTTCGCGTAAACGCCACTTGTGTCATGGCGTCGCTATGACGTCGCGGCACTATGAAACGGATATCCGTCCATGTAGCGATGTCCCGGATATCCGTATCCGTTACTTTTCTCGCAGATCTTTTAGGGATCTTTTAACTTATTAATTTTCAATTGATAGGATGAAATGCTATATATAGGAGATTAGGTAGATTTAAAAACTATTAAATTCAATTCAAGTATTTTTATTTCTTAAAATCAAATATTTAGCACCTTTATATTGCAAACATTTATCGTAGTAAGTTACTTTACCAATAGTACATAACTCAAAGGTACTAATCAACTATCTTTATAATAAGATCAATATTATAGAAAGTTATAATATCACTTCTATAAATATAAGAAAATGAGAAAACCAAAACTTAAATGTTTTTTATAATTATAATGAGATGAATATAATAAAAAGTTATAAGTTATAAGATCACTTTTATAACTATGAGATGATGAGAAAACCAAAACTAAATTCTAATAGAGTAAATTAATACTGCGTACCTAGTAGGTACTATCCATCATATAAAGTGTAAACATTAGATAACACGAGCAAACACAGTGAAAATTAGAGGAACTTGAAAAAAATATTAATTATAAAGATCCGTATCCGTATCCGCGGATCTTTACACCAAATATCCGTATTCGGATCCGTATCCGCGGATATACATTTTTAACGATACGGCACATCACTAGTTCTATGTATGCATAAGGTTGAATTCTCTAAGTTCAAATATAAGTAAGAAGGGCTTGATGTCACGCGCTGTTTACGGTCACGTGACAACGAGTAAATAGTTTAAGCAATATTATAAATATAAACATAAAAGTGTGATTATCGGTAATAGTATTATATAACACTACCAGAAAAAAAATGTATTTATTCCCGTTTAATGTCTACATCTGTATTCTTAGAAAGTAAAATTATTCTTGTAAATATGAAGATTGTGAAGTATATTTATAGTATTAATTTTATTAAAAGTTAGGTAAAATTTTAGATTACCTATGTAGTGATAATGAACCCGAGAGGTTAATTATCTTACTTGTTCCTAAAACAAGCTTTTGAAAGTAATTTAGAGATGTGGAGTTGAGTATTTCACGATACTGTTATGAGGAAGTATTTAAAAAATAAAACATTAGTTCCGTAAATAAACCTAGATGTCGCTACGGTACTTTCTTGACATCTCCATGACAACCCTTACGGTTTTCTTTCATGTATGAAAGTAAATTAGTTTTCAAAACTCAATAAACTCATTTTTTATTTGTACTTTTTTGTATTTGTATGATATCTATGTTTCGATCTTTGCAAATCCCAGTTTTTTAATATGTTAGTTAAAAGAAACTGAAATGACTATCTTTGGTCCATTCATTTCCTGCAAATATTAACTATTGCTAGAGGCGCCATCTAGTGGAGGCTTTTAAGTGCTTTCTTTTTTTTAATACTTTCTCATTGAGTTTGAATCCCGAGCATGACATGCTAAAATAAATACGGCTACGTATCATCGCGTATTGAAAATGTAAATATTTCGGTTTACACTCTCTAGGCTGATGTATGGAATCGATAAAAAGGATATTAAAGTCATTATAGGTATAATTTTGTTATATTTTAATACTATGGTTAATTTATTTATATTTTTAATTCATAAGCCTAAAATTATGTAATAAGATAACTGTATGATTTAAATAAAAATTTAGTTTTCTAATTTTAATAAAAACATAAATGATAAGAACGAGATATCTCCAACACAAGTATTACTTGCTGGAATAGTCTCATTATTAATTATTGTTAAATAATTTTGGAAAGAAAAGATTATTAAATGTTAATTTTATATAATTTATGTAAAAAAATGATTTTTGACGCTAATAAATTGTTATAATTGTTTAGTGATAAGTTTGTTTCAATTATCCGGTTAAAAAAACTTAAAATAAAATAAATCAATAAACAACTTTATGCATTGCGATTGGTTCCACTACTACTATAATAATACAAAGACAAAAGTGAGAAAAATAAAAAACCTCGGCATATTGCGGTAAACCAAGGTGAAGCGTTGGATTGTAGATGGAGAGGGAGAGACACCCCCCAGGCTTCAGGTAAAAAGATTGAAACAAAATAACGTTTTAATTAACATTCTTTATTTTATTTCTCTATTTCTTTAGATTCGCTCGGTTTGGTCCTTGTATCTTTGACTAAGAGGACTTATCTTTAAAGTAGAATAGGGGATTTAGTGTCGAGTTCGCGGTGTCAGGGTGTCACGGGCTGGGCAGTGGCTGGCAAGGGTAGACCCGATGTCAGCTCCAGTCAGCAGCACTGGAGAACGAAGACTCGATCTTAGAATGCAGAGTAGCGCTAGTGAGACGGGCTCCGATGGATTTACATACTATTTGACCATTATGAGCCGCGCTGCGCTCCCATGTCTGCCTACGTCCATTCTATAATTGTTACCAATGTACCTACAATTATTTTTATTGATTATTTTTCTTGAAATTAATTTGTATCAAAACGAAAAAGAGAATGAAAACATGAAAAAGACAAACGGTTTATTTAGAAAACTATTACAAAGGAAAACAAATAAAATAACATGCATTGCATTTAATAAACTATGATGTCATCAACATAAAATTAAAAATAAATAATTTATACTTAAATAAATTACAATTCACATTGTTTAAACGTGGGTTTATTTTTCAGGTCAGACTTTAAATGTGTTTAATTAAACTTAGATTTCGACGAACTCCACAACCATATATTCGAAGGGAAACCACAAAATGGCTCTATCGTTTACTTATAGAACACAGTTAGAGATGCCTTTGCGTTTGTAAATTTCACTACATTTTACACAAGAGTTGTTCAAAACGACTATAAAGCATTAACACACTGCAGACTAAATGTGAAATTTATTAGCGTGCTAATAAATGCACTAATTTAATAACGTGCTATGTAATAAAAAGCGTATAAGTGCGCAACAGATGCATTAAATCAAGCAGCACCCCTTCACTTTATGTCCTTATATTTATTAACCCTTTATTTGGCAAAAAAAATAAACATTTTGAATTGAAACAAATACGGAAATAGGAATGTGTAGAGCCTAAATATGCCCAGAAAAATAGTAAAAAAAATCTAGGATTTTCAGTTTTCCTGAAAAATCATGTATGGTACTACATACATTGCCAAGTGGGTAAAGA